CTCTCTCTCTCTCTCTATATATATATATATATATATATATATATATATATATATATATGCGTGTATGTGTGTGTGTGTGAACTCCGGTAAAGCCAAGTCAGCTAACACCCAAGAAACGTATCTTTGACCTGAGCTCTCCTTCTCTCTTGGATACTATGTGCAACAACAAAACAAATGACGTTAGGTTCTATTGTTCTTTTATAAAAAGATTAGATTCTTTTCATATGCATGTATTTTTTACAATATATTGGCAACAATTCCTATAACAGTTGCTTTCATATTTAATTTTTTAAAAAAATTAAAATTAATGAAATCTTATTTACGATTGAGTATATGAGAAGAAAGATTAGGTAAATTAAAATCGGATAGTGTGTTCTGTACAGCTGAAAAGAGGTGAATTATTTGCTAGGTCCTTGGGAGCTGAGTTATCGATTCAATCAGATGTCAGAAGATGAGTAAACATGGAATTTATAGTAGTTCATCAGCTCAAAAGCTTGATTAATTGAGAGAAAGAAGATTACATAAAGTAGATGCACAGATGATTCCGTGATTATAAATGCGAGGGATTCATCCCCTATTAATAGTGTACAGTTGCCCTGTGTGATCTTTGCGATTCTCCTATAACCAATGTCCTCCTGGCGTAATCAACGTGTTTTCCCTTGAGACTGTTGCAACCCATGCGCAAAATTTTTTAGCCATTATGATTTCATTCTCTTGTCATGACGTGGCCTTCAGGAAAGTTGTTAACTATCACTGTCATCGCGTGCACGGAGGTCTTGTTGCTGGGGATTCCCGACCTGTGCACCCTGAGCAAATAATCGTGAGTTATAGGGTTTGAACTTAGATGTCTGAACTGATCGGTCCAATGTTATCAGAACCGGATCGGTCATCGAACCGGTTAGAGGACTGGGTCAATGGTTCACTGGTTCAACTAATGGGTCACTGGTCAGATCGGTATTATAATAAGAAAGAAAAATATATATATGTATACATATAATTATAAAACATAATAATTTAGCTAAAAAATATAAAATATGTCTAAAATACATAGAATTTGTCATAAAATTAATGAAGTTTACAATCATATATGCAGTATGGATGAAGACAACGTGTGATAGAAGCACATACCATATAATAGCAAAAACAAGAGTTAAGAGTCAAAACCAATGAAATCCAGTATGATGGAAGCACAGACCATTTTTTATTTACAGTCTGGTAGAAGCAGTAAACATTAATCGCAGCCGCTGGAGTTCACTGATCGTCGGTCG